CCCTATATTATTTTTAAAGGTCCCAGTTTCCTTTGAAAGCTAGATAGAGTAGCTTTTCAAAAGCTCCCTTCTCTGCTTATCTAAATGTCTTTTCTAAATACTGAAAGTAAATTGGTGAGCCTAGGCATTCTTTGGTTCTTCTCCCTTCTCATTCCTAGCACTCTTATTTTTAATCTTGTCCCACCCCAAACAATCTGATATTTCAGAACAATATTTTTGTGATTTCTTTTCTTTTCATTTTATACTAAATAAATCCAAAACAATCTTCCTTCAAAAATTCATTTGATTGCTTATTTTCATTGCTTATTTTTAAATCATATTTACAGAAAGAAGATAAAACTCTTAGTTATTTTAATAATGGGTTTTCAAGTTACTAAAAAATTGGGATACACCAATTTCCCTTTTTTAAGTTATTTTGTCATATTTAGTATTTTCTAGTCTCTTTTCAAAGCATAATTCTACATGTAGTCAAACATTCCCTGACCAGAAAACAGGCATCAAGATAAACATATGTGAAGTGTTTGTTTTGTGTTAACTTCAGCAAGTTATTAAAAACTTAGCCTCTTCCTCATTAAAGTAATAAATAAATAACTAAAATAATTAAAATGTGTAGATTTTGACATTTCATTTACTTAGGTATGCTTTTATTGCTTCAATTACTAAGAAAACTTTTACTTTTGCTACTCTGATAATCATTTATCAAATAGGAAATAAAGACTATTTAAATAGTTGCTGCTATATTTACTGTAAGAAATAATAAAATTATATATATACACATATTCATAATAGATAGTACTGTTATCATAGTTTTAGCCTAATAAAAGTTAGTTCTTTTTTGGCCCCAGTCCTCTCTAATATTTCTTGTGGATAGAATGTTCAATTAGTGTCTTCCCATATTTTTATAAACACCTGCTTCAATCCAACATCTTATAGATAATATTCCATAAATGTAGGATATTTTTTGAAAGCACTGATTTGCAATTCTTTTTCTGCACAAAAACATCTGCATCAGAATCTTATGGAATGCACAATGTAGTAGAGTAAGCCAAACACATATGAAATAATAGTGGAAAGCAGGAAAACAGTAAAAATGTATTTTATAAAATTTTAGTCGTGTCTCATCAAACATCCATGGCCTAATTTGAAACAAATATAATAAGAAAGTAGAGTGTCTGTTATGTTTCTAACTCCTAATAGTAGGGTAGCCATACAAGGAATAAATACTAAATTTTATTCCCTTTAAAAATTTCATGATTTCAAGTTGTATGGTATGAAAAATGGATTTACTAGTTATCTATTAGCTATCTCTCATCTATCTATGTCTTTTATCTCATCTATTTTCTTTCTACCTATATCTATCTATCTACCCACCACCTACCTACCTATCTACCTACCTATCTATCTCCTTTCATTTATTTTTTTTTACCTGTTTAAATGAATGATTAGTACAGAAGACTATGATCCTTAGTTAGATGCAAGTGACTCACACCTGTAATCCTAGCTCCTCAAAAGGATCACAGCTGGAAGCTAGCCTATGCAGGAGCCTGTTATATCCAATTAACCATCAAAAAAGCCAGCATTGGAGATGTGGCTCAAGTGGTAGAACACAAACCTTGATCAAGGATGGGCGGGGATGGGGAGAGAAGGAGAGAAGTAAGGTAAGGGACAGTGCCCCATGTCCTGAGTTCAAGCCTCCTAGCCAGCACACATACACACACATACACACAATTTTAAAATATTAGACTTTGAAAGAATTCATTTGTTCAAATGTGAAACTTTTGCAAGTGTGTCATGCTGAACCACATTATGGCTCCTTGAGATCAGTCTGCATTTCTAATGATCGTGTAGTGTTCTGTGTCCATAGCCTTCTGTGACATAGAGTCCAGGACATAAAGGAAGCAACATTTTGGCTGCTCTCCTGCCAGGAGTACTGTCCCCTACAGTCTTTCATATCTTTGCTCCACACAGATTACAAAGCAAATCACAACTGGAGTTTTCTTCTCAGGGTTCTATCACCATCTTTTCATGCTTTGCTTTGCTTTCACTTTTATCTGAATGTTACAGTAGGATCAGTGGAGTTAGTTAGCTGGAGGGGTTTTCTGTTCTTTCCTGTCTTACATAATGAAACCCAGTTATTTGTCTTAGGATCTTCCCCTCTTATATCCACCAAACAATATCAGATGTCCCATGACAGCATATTTCATCCTTTTATCTCCCCACAATTTTATTTTCAAAAATTTCTGTCATGTTGTCTAATTTCACATCAGATCCTTTGTGAATCATAGAAAAATCTGTGTTCTCTAAAGGACAACTTCCCTGTCAGTGTGATTACTTCTATATAGTTTATATAACCTTACACTTAATTGATTCAGTAGGTTTTGGTTCCTTATTTCTCAACTCATATGTTCTTTTCATCATTTCCTTCTTCCTTTGGGTTTCTCCATTGATCCTTCAAAGTGCTACTTTGTATTTTGAGGCTAAAGGCCTTTATTAGTGATTCTTGACATCAATGAGTTAATCCTTCCATATGATTTAAGGGGCACATTTCCTTCATTTACATAAAAAGATATGATTAATATAAATCCCATATAGCATGATCTCAGTGTTATATATTATAATAAATATTGGGAATAATATTATTATTCTTGTTAATTTGTTTTAAAGTAAAGCATGTTCTCCTTTCCCCAATGAATTTACAATCTTAAGCAAATACTTGGAAAATAGGAGAATGGGTGTTAGAATTTCTGTGTTAGCCACTTTTCTCATCACTGTGTCCAAATACCCAAGAGAACAATGTTAACTGGAGAATCATTTTATTTAGCTGATGGTCTCTGAGGATTCAGTCTGTACTGACAGAGAGGGCATCATGGAGCAGAACAGTTCATGTCCTGATAACTGGGAAGCAGAGGAAAGGGATATAGAAACTGATAACTGGGAAGTAGAGGAAAGGGATATAGAAACGAGCTCTGGCAAGATGGCGCTCCAAGGACATGCCTCCAGTGAGGCCCTACCTCCTACATTTAACCATAGCAATGCTGCTATCTTATTATAAATCCATCAAGTGATTAATCTATTCATTATGACAGAGTCCTCATGATCTAATTGTCTCTGGAAGTGCAATCACAGACATACCCAGGCATGCGCTTTACTTATTTCTTAGGTGTTTGTTAATCCATTCAAGCTGACAATGACAATTAGCCATAATATAGTTAGATATGTTTTTGTTTTTTCACTTTTTGGCAATGGAAATTTACCTTTTCTGGTAAATTCCTGGTATTTTTAGAGATTCACACTGATAGATCATTGTGCAAAATGAAACTATTCCCTCATTATTCAAGCTTTCTTTTCTTATGTGTGGCATTACTCAAACCTGGGGTTCATGTTTACATCCACATTATTTATATTATCATTTATGTTTATATTTTCTTTAAAGTATATATGTAGTAGGCATTCTCACATTTCTTTCCTAAACACCAATGAGCTTCAAAGAACCTTTTAGTTTTTTAATTGTTTAATTACTTAACATAGTATGACAAATAAGTGTCTTATTTGGTGAATTGTTTACATTTCACCACCTACCTTACAGTCTTTGATGTTCAAAAGCTTTCTATTAAAAACTTTTACTCTTTCTAGAGAATTGTTTCATTGTTAATACCAGTTTTTTTCTTTCTTGGTGGACCTAAATATTAACAAAATATGCCTGTAGAATTGTGAAATGAGGTCTTCTTCCTCCTCTTCCTCTCCATTCTCTCCTTCTCTCTTCTCTTTTTTCTCCTCTTCTTCCTCCTCCTCTCCTTTTCTTTCACCCTCTTGATATATACACACATCTGTGCATATATCCAAAATATACACACAGGCAGACAGATAGATAGATGGACATACACTCTATTTGGTGGTGAGATCTATTATGGGCTGGATAGTGTACCTTCTCCAGCCAAAGGGGTAATAAGAGTTCTAAAGTCCAAAACCAATAATGTATTGTGTTTGGAGTTAAGGCCTGTATAGAGGTGAGCAAGTTAAAATGAGGCCATTGGCATGGACTCTGCTCATGAATGATGTATAAGAAAAGGGGAACATAAGACACAGAGGTAACATGTGAAGAGAAAAGATCTCAAGAGAAAGGTAAAAGATGGCCATTTTCAATTTAATGAGAGAGACTTGGAACATATTCTTCTCTCAGCTGTTGGAAGAAACCAACCCTAGAGTTACTTATTTTGAACACTTCAAGCCTCCAGCCACTGTAGGACAAAATTCACCCATGCCAGTTATGTCAGCCACTTTATGGTGTCTCATTATGTCAGCACTAGCAAACCAAACCAAGACCCAATAAAAACCGGAGACAAGGGAGAAATTAGCCTATTAGAGAATGGCTGTGGTATCTGGGTATCTGTAGCTCATGTCTTTAGGTTTTGGCAAAGAAACCCGAGTTTTTACTTCCTAGAGCACTACGTTTCTGGAATAAAACTTTTCAAACTTGTTTTACTTTTACATAACTGTGATGTGGTGGCTGGCGACCTACATGTGACTGAAAAGAGCAAGCCAGAGTCACGTATAAGACACAAGAAACAAGATTTACTGTCACCCGAGAGGGGCCCACTCTTTAAGGTCAGCTGTCATCAAGATAAAAAAAATGCAATTGGCTTTAGACTCTTTCTCTCACTGGTTAGGAGGGGTGGGGAGGGAGAGAAAGTAGGGAGGGGTGGGGAGGGAGAGAGAAAGGGTGTAGAAAGCCCGGTGTAAAGAAGGCAGCGAAAAGCTCCAGGGAGGCTGAGGACTGTGTTTCACCGGGAAAAAAAAAAAAAAAAGCAATGTGAGCCGGGGAGATGAGGTTCGGCTTCCTCAGACCCACCCACCTACCCACCCACCCACCCGCCCACCCCTCCTGGAGCGGTGTGCTTCCGCAGGCGGCGCGCAGCCGACGGCGAGTGGTGCTGAAGGGACAGCTCCCACGGTGCTAGCCCGGCTGTGGGGGGTCGGGTCGTCGGGGAGAGGGGGCAGGGGAACCCAATCTGCACACCGGGGACTTCACCTTCCAGTGGGTGAGCTCTCCTGACCTGCGGCCAAGCCTGCGCTCCAGAGACACCCGCTCGCGTATCTGCCTGTTCCCCAGCAGGGTCGGGCAGAGCCGGCTGGACCCGCCCCAAGCTCCATGGTTTGCTCAGCCCTGCGCGATGGTGACTTCGGGCGCGGAGGGTGGCGATGGACGAAGCCGCCGATCGCAGCATGAAGGCGGCACCGAGCGTGGCCGGCAGCCGGCGGGGACTGTCTCCCCGACCTCCACGCCCGGAGAAGCGGCCCAACCACCTGAACCCGGAAAACGCCAACAAGTAGTTTCCCTTCGCAGAAGGGCGGCTCAGGCTGGCCGCCCAGATTCAATCCTGCTGCCCAGAGAACCTCGTCCGCTCCGAGACACCGAAGCAGAACCACTTTCCTCTCGGGTTCCTTAAGGTATCTGGGGACAAGCGGGGAGTGGGGTGGGGTGGGAATCGGGGTGCTTTCCCGGGGGGGGGCGTGCGGCCCCTACAGGCAGGCATCCCCCCCCGCGCCTCCAGCCCCCCCTCTCTCTCGGCAATAAAGATGCAGAGGTGAAGCCCAGGGGGAGAGGCTGGAAAGGGACTCGCTCCTCCGCCGTTCAGGGGGTGTGCCTGCAGAGGCTTCGCCCTCGCCCCTCTTAGAAAGCAAGCCCTCCCTCCACCCCAACTCTCCACCCCCTAAGGTATTTGTTTTGCTTTGGCAACGGGGGGAGGGGGATGGGTGGGATGTATTGCTCACTTCAGTGGCTCAAAGATGGATCCTAGTTAGTGCTTCCTTACCCAAGTAATAATAACGTGAACAACAGCGATAACAATCAAGCCAAGAGGAAATGGGAGGAGGAAGTTAGTCAGAGGTCTCCTTGGAGAAAGACAACAGCACGGATGACCCCCCTCCCCACTTTGACTTCATTTTTTTGGGGGGGGGGTGTCTGTGATGGAGTGTGGAGGTGAGCCCAGCAAGGACGCTCTCCCAGGGTGCTGGGGAGCAAGGTGGACCGTCCAGAGTTGGCCCCGTTCCTGTGCAATAGGGGGTCCCAACTCCACTCTACTCCTCGACCTTAGGGAACTCTTGGCCTGAAGACATTGCATCCAGGCTAGAGGAGAAGGAGGAAGGTGGAAGGTGTGGCGGGGTGGGGTGTGTGTGTGTGTGGCGGGGGGGGGGGTCAGGGAGAGAGGAAGATGGGGGTAACCCAGGGGAGAGACAAAGCATGGAGTTAACCCAGGGGGAGTCAGAGGGCTTAGGGAGGGAGGGTCAGGGGCTGGAAGTAGCTTCTCAGCCTCCACGGCTGGGGGATGGGGGGGGTGGGAAGGTGGAAGGTCAAGAGGTGGAGAGATGGAGGGGAGGGAGGAGGGAAGAGGTTTTGTGGGAAGTCGAGGAAGTCTCGCTCCGTTAGTTTCCTGGAACCCCTGGGAAAGGTGTGATGCCAGAGGCAGGCGAGCGACAGGACGCCCCTGGCTTCTCGGTCCGCCCCTACCGCCATCCGCAACCGGGGGCCACCGGGAGGGCGGGAGCGGGGCGAGGGCGGGGGTCCGGGCGCGCTTCTGCCGGCGGAGATCGGTAACTCGGCGCCGTGTTCGCCTCCCTCCCCCTCCCCAGTCATGTCTGAGCCACAGAGATGGGCAAGATCGAGAACAACGAGAGGGTGATCCTCAACGTCGGGGGCACCCGGCACGAAACCTACCGCAGCACCCTCAAGACCCTGCCCGGGACGCGCCTGGCGCTGCTGGCCTCCTCCGAGCCCCAGGGCGATTGTCTGACCGACAAGCTGCAGCCCCTGCCCCCTCCCCTGACGCCTCTGACCCCTGGCCCCGGTGGTGGCGGAGGTGGCGGCGGCGGCTGCTTCGAGGGCGCGGGCAACTGCAGCTCCCAGGGTGGTAGCCACCTGCCCGGGGGCGGCCGCGAGTTCTTCTTCGATCGGCACCCGGGTGTTTTCGCCTATGTGCTCAACTACTACCGCACGGGTAAGCTACACTGCCCGGCCGACGTGTGCGGACCGCTCTTCGAGGAGGAGCTGGCCTTTTGGGGCATCGACGAGACCGACGTGGAGCCCTGCTGCTGGATGACCTACAGGCAGCACCGCGACGCCGAGGAGGCCCTGGACATCTTCGAGACCCCGGACCTCATCGGGGGCGACCCTGGCGACGAGGAGGACCTGGGGGCCAAGAGGCTGGGCATCGAGGACGCGGCGGGGCTAGGCGGGCCCGACGGCAAGTCGGGCCGCTGGAGGAGGCTGCAGCCCCGCATGTGGGCTCTTTTCGAGGACCCCTACTCATCCCGAGCCGCCAGGGTAAGGCCTGACTCCGCCCTTCCCACCCAAGCCTCCCATTCCCATTCCCTCTGAAACTTTTCTTTCTTTCCACCAGGGGCTGCCTAGAGAGGAGTTTCCAGGCTCATCTAGGGTGGAAAAACAAAAAGAACAAAAATCAACCCTCTTCTCCCCCCCCTCAAAAAAAAACCACACAAAAACCTGGTTTTACCCTCTTCATCTTCTCACTCCGTTCCTTCTTACTCAACACACTGAGATTTACTTTAGCAGATGGGCCGTGAAGGGCCAATGCCTACTTCTCTGAGCAAGTCTCCATCTGATGTTGTCCTAAAATCGGTACCAACCTTCATCTTGAGGTTTTGTTTGTGTGTCTCTCCAACCCCCGCCCCCTCCTTCCCTTATTCTGTTTCAACTTTTTCCCTTTAGCTTGGATGTCTGCTCTCTGGGCTTACTGGTCATTGAGAGGTGACATTTTCAGTGAGGCCTGACTCTTTCTGGGTCTGACTCACCCAAGGAAGTGGCTTCAATGATAGGGATCTCATTGGAGGACATAGGAAGGGGAAATGGGGTGTTTGTAGTTGGCTTCTGTGGTTGCGGTGGAGGAGGGAGGTGGGCCGGGGCAGTCCATTTTGTGAGAGAAATATTCTACACAAGCCCTGTCTCTCTTCCCAAGGGCGAAGAAGATCATGGAGAGATGGCTTGTTCTAGTCAGCTGACCTCTGCAACACTGGACTTTTCAAGCCTGGTGCTTTCTTTCCCTCTAGAGTTTCTGTCCCTATTCCTTACAGGTTGATGGTGAATTAACCACTTTGCAGATCTGAATTCCCGTCTCTGAATCTGAGTGACTTAGATAGTAGGAAACTTAGTTTTACTTTGTCTAGTGTGATCTTAGACTTGCTGTTTCTTTCTCATTTTTAAACTTAAGTGACAGCTTAAATTTAGTCGTTGACATGCCCAATTAATTCTAGGAGATTCCATGAAGGGGCTATAAAAGTAAGCTGAGATAGTTTCATCAGCTTTAAGAAATAAAATACTTTCTAAATAACCCTAATTATACAGTATTTGAAGTTTTAAAAAAGAATTATATATGAGAACAGAGTTCTGTATTTGGTTAAGTCTTCACAACTGCATGTGTCTGCCTTACTTCTGCTCTGTAGGACAGAAATGCCCTGGGCAGAGCAGAATTCCTCCCTCCCAGCTTTACTTTGACTCAGTTCTTTCTATTGTCTTTATCTGCACGTGAGAAATTCCTTCATCTTAGATAGCAAGCAGCTGTTGGTAGACTCACTTCTCAGCTGTGCTTTTTGATAGCACTTTGGAAGTCTGTAGATGTTTTGTTTTCAGTGAGAAGTAGAACATGGCACAACTTAATGCTTTCCAGACTGCATTTGAATGTGTAAATTCTAGCATGTGCATATTCACACCTGTGAACATAGAATTCACACACTCTGAAAGATTTCTTTTAACTTCTGAAAAAAGCGCATGTTTATTTCAATGACCTCACTCATGATCATGACATCTGTGTATTTTGTTTTCCAGCTGGAGGTCATGATGCTTTTTCTGCTTCCTGGTTAAAAAAGATAATCTGAATTATTTTTCAGGCTCATCAAGTGATGTTTTATTTTTCCTTTCAGATCATGTGCTATAAAATGTTAAAAGGTTTTATCTTTCTTCGTGATAACACAATATCCTCATGTTATTTTATATTTTAAGATAAATCATACAGCAAAATATTTAAGAAGGTGCCTAATTCTTATTACGGATTTTTAAAAACTAAAGATGTACATCATTGACTTGAATAGTTAATCATACTTGGATTTTTTTTTGTTGTTGTTGTTGTAATTGTGCAGAGGACTTGACCTGAATAATTTAGGTGAAGAAACAACATAGGGATTAACACAAGGTCAAGTGAAAGTAGAAGCAAAATCAGTTGAGAATCACAGGACTGAAAAATGTCTTTGAAGTCACCTAGTCAAGACCCTTTATTTTGTAGCTGAGGAAAATGAAGACTCAGATGCTAAGTGATGGCCAAGGTCATACCTCAAGTTAATAGCAGAACCAAAATTATTCTAGAGGTCTCATGACATCCTTTCCAGTCTTTTTACACCAAAACCTCTGATTATAACTGACTGGGCTGTGAAATCTCTGCAGACCATATTGCTCTGGAGATTTGATTTTATATATAAGACATTCACTAACTTGGAAAGGTCATTATGACTTAAATATATATTATTTGTTTAAAATATATAGTATGTAATAGCATATATTATATATAATAGTAACAATAATTATAGAAATTATAAGATAACATATAACAATAAATACATAAATTATATAACACACTAATACAAAAATGTAAAATATGTAATAAACTAATAACATAATATAGACTGTTTTATATGAATATATATATTTCTAGGACTTCAGCTAGTGGAATTTTTACCCTGTATCACCAAACAATAGAATATAAATCCAATGGGTCTTGATTTAACTTTTTGTTTTTGAGACCAGAACTCCCAACTCAATATCTGATTTTTTTGCTCATTGGCTGGTGTTTACTACCTGAACCCCATCTTCAACCTCTTGATTTAATTTCATGAATGCTTTGTTTCATTGTAGACCAGTTAGTGTGTAACTATTTGCTTTCTTTTGTGGAATTTATCTTCAGGATAACTTTTCTGAAGTTACTGATGTTTACTGAATCAGAAGAGATCATTACATTTACAAGTGGATTAATTACATTTAGTACAGGTAATTGTTGATTTAATGTTATCTGAACACTTTGATAAATAGAATTACATTGGAGAGGCCATAAGATGAACCACTGCTTTGCAGAGAGAAGATCTAGGAAAAATAAATCAATTATCCAGTGATTTGCTCCAGCTGTAGTTGTATTGCCCCGTTCCATTTTTTCTCCCAAGTTTCATTTTTAACAGAAGTTAAGGATTTATACTTTGATATACCATCTTTTATATCAGCTTAGCTTTTGTTGATGTGCTGGTCTGAGCAATTTTAGCTGTTTGAATTTGTTTTTCATTTTGTTAAGCTTATTATATTATTGTTATACTCAGTTCTTTATGATTTTTGATATTGAAGAGATTGATTAAATTACATAACATTTTATTTCTGACCTTTATATTGATAGGAACGGAAGAATTCGTTGAATTCTGTAGCACTGTGTTTTTGCCTTTTGTTGGTTGGGTCCCCCTTCTGCATTTTAATATATAATGTAAATACGCACTTGAAAGATCTAAGCTTCCATATTTAATCTGGTTAGTAAGGTTATATTTTATACTCATCCCTAATAATAGTACTAAAGATAGAAAGTTATAAAAGTTATGATATAAGTTATTATGGAAACCTGTTTTGGAAAATGTGAAACATTACTATGGAAATACCACTGGTGACAGTTACAAGTAGTAAAAATCAGTAACACATAAGTGTACTTGTGAAAATTGATGTACGTCCCCAATTTAGTTTTAGAGTACAATGAAATGTGTACATGAATTTCTCTGAAGAGTCACTATAGAAAGAGGACAAACCAGGCAAAAATTCTGTGATAGAACTTCTAAGATTTTGAAAGCTTAAAAATAATTTAGGGGCAAAATCCTAGTATTAGAAAATATGTCAAATCATTCCCAGTATTAAAGAGCTGAGAGCTAATTCTGCTTCTTTTCATTTTATTTACTCATTCTATTCATTTTATTAGTTCCTGAGCTCTGTCCCTGAGCATCTCTGTGCTCAAGGCTAGTGCTCTACCTCTTAAGCCACAGTGCTACTTTCAGCTTTTACTAAGTATTTTAACCATGATCCTCAGATCTCCCCCTCCTGAGTAGTTAGAATTACAGGCGTGAGCCACTGGCACCTGACTATTCATTTGTTTTTAAAAATTATTTTGGTGAGGTAGCAGAGGCATGATGATTCAATTTAGTTTTAATTCAGAGTATTTGTTTTAATTACTGCATTTGCATTACTAGATTTGAATGACTTATGAATGTGGCGTGTACAAAGTCATATTTGTTCAACTTGTATCTTGGTGCATTCTACCACCAGGGCTTGCACCACCAAGGCAGAGTTAACTACCTTTTCTTTTCCCACTCCTTTTCCTTCAAAACCATGCCCTGTGTATTCTTTTCTTTTCTTTTTAAATATCAATACTGTCACATAGGCTTCACCCCAGGGTCCTTGCTTAAGTTTAGCTCTTTACTCACCTCAGTAATGGAAATCACTCTTAAGAGCTCACATATCTAGGCTTCACTCTCTTCAGCTATCTTAGACTTCACATACACACACACACACACACACACACACACACACACACACACACACACATTAAATATTTAACTGGTAACCACAAATTTTGATGTAAAATTCATATGCCTTAGTACAGCAAATAAGACCTTGGTTATCTTGCTTCTGCCTTTCCCCCCACGCTTCAACATCATTCTCATTACTTTAAGAAAATACGAATTAATGTTCAGCTGACAAATAATGGGCAAGCCTGGATTTCTGAGTTGGCAAAGCCTTAGAATTTTAATTTGATTTCTCTTTTAATCTTGACTTCTCTATTTTCAAAAATAATTCCAATCTCTTTCCTATAATACGATGAATCTTGTACTTACACCAAATAAATGAATTGACGTGAGCAACTAGAAGTCATAGCTACTCAAATGATAATACAAACTCAAACTAATACATTTGAGAGTAGGGCAATAGTTGGGGTGTTTGCATTTGCCATTTAATCATCTAAGGTATCTTTTGACCTTTTCCAGGCCACTAACTGTATAATTCACAAACACATTTGATACTAATTAAGTTAATAAATTCTGAGCATTGAATAGGAGCACAAGTACCTGACTTAATATGTTGTTAAAAGAACATAGTATCTTCAAATGTCATTGTTATCTTCAGTTGGATATTTGGTCACAGGCTAGGTGATCTTATCTGTTGCTGAACTTTAGGTATATACAGAAATGAATTCAATGGTGCAGATCAAGCATGACTTCTCCCTTCCCCACAAG